TACTTACTTACTTACTTACTTACTTACTTACTTACTTCTCTCTTTCTCCATATAGGCTAATGATCGTTCACGCTCTCCGTAGTTCCCCTGTGGCGCGAGCACAGGGCGGCTGTTGCGCGCCTTTAGCGAGCATGTGCATTTCCTGTCTCTTGCGCGGTGAATCGTGCCGCCTGCGCTGTGCGGAGATGCAGGGGAAACCGTATCTGATGGGGAAACGCAGCTCGACGTAACACCGGTATTTCCATCTGGAAAGCGCTGTTTTGCCGCTGGAGTCCTCCTCACTCTCCATCCTCCCCTCTCTCATGACGGGCGCACGAGTCCTATTATGAAAAAAGGTTAATTGTGCGACCTGAGTAACGTGCAGTAATGGGGTGTCGGCACTTGTAACTGCGTTATATTTACAGTAAGAGTAATAATTTTGATTAATCGTTACTAAAAAAGGTAGCGGCGTTAGTAACGGCGTTACTTTCGACGTCGTTACTCCCATCACTGACTGGGTGTGCAGCAAAGCCTTTATTTAGCCAAAATACACAGAACTTCAGAAGCATTAGCCATATTTACACTACACCTCAGAAAACCGATCTGTGCCGAGTTCGGACCAAGCTTGGATCAGTTAACCGGACCGTGCTCGGTTCCTTACGACCGTTTACACACCACGCTAGCAAGGTTCCTCGCTTCCTAGTGACGATCTACGGTACTACTGCTCTCTAGATCAGGAGTCTTCAACGTTTTCCAGGCCAAGGACCCCCAAACTGATGGCGAGATGGAGATGGGACCCCCTAATTATATATATTGTATGAAATTATGTTCTATCAATATGGTCCTACAGTCAGTCTATCACAGATGGAGTCATGTAACAAAAGTAATTTCACCCTGGGATTATTAAAGTAAAGTAAAGAATGAAACTGTGTCCAGATTGAAAGAGCTCCTGTGTGTGGCTGAATGTGTGCATTGATGACTGAAAGACATCTTCTGCCTCCATTTATCTGTTTACTACAGTCTCTTTAAATCATGTTAATGTGGATTTAAAGATATTTCAATTAGTGGAAAAAATTGCAGGGTTGAATACAAAAAAAGTTAAATCAACCAAAACTATTGCAACAACCCCCATGCAGTATCTCTGTGGACCCCCTGTTGAAGCAAACAAGCAAACCAACATGGCGTTCCTGTAACATTCAGAAAGTTTGCAGTGAGTCAGGCAAAGAAGGCAGCCTGCAGCGAATTTTCTTGACAGGGTCGGCTTTTGGGAAGTTGATACAACAAACGATAGTCTAATCAGGGCTTCCAGGCGCAGGAAACATTGACGGACGTTGAGGTTCATCACACTGCCAAGCAGAATCATCACTTGAAATCATGTGGCACGGTAGGACACCTAGTATTTTTATGAATGTCGGAAATTTCCTGATAACGGAGGCTGACTGTAAGGAGATGACGCATTCTGTTCATGCGCTTTCTGCTATCTGAGAACCAAACCTACTGAGCCCTACTGATGAACTAGTACCATGTTAGCACGGTTCAGTTGTGTCTGGCACGGTCTGGTTCAGTTGTGCGTACCATTTATACTCAATAGATATCTTGGTTACTGTGCTCGGACCGATCTCGGCACGGTTTCAAAAGGGTAGTGGAAACGGGGCTATATAGGAACATTCAGTTTCTGCTGAAAAGATGGACGTGGTTGACGTACGGACTTGTTCAAGTCTCGTTTGGCAGCTTCTTTTTCTGTCCTAGTCTTTGTTTGTTAGCTCATCAAACTCGGCCAAGCGCTCTGCTAAACTGGCATCAGAAATACCAGCGGATGAGTCTGAATGGAACAGACTAGTCCTAGCAGTAGACAGGCTGGTCTGTCTGGCTGTTTGACGTAAAAAGTGCCGTAAAACTTGACGTTATTCAATGAAAAGTGACGTTATCAATTGTGAGCTGTGTCCGTCGCTCATTAAACTCAGAATGAACGTCGCTCTCATTTACATTCATTACTTTAAAACCGATTCGTTCGTATACAATGAACACCGTTCAAGCTCGACACTGTTCACTGGTTTGTTTTCACATCAGTCTACTGGACAATAAGGGTAGTTTCTGACACACGGAGGAGTTAATGTTCACTAAATGACTGCAGGGTACTCAGACCTTCCTCCTGCAAAAACAACAGCCTCCTCCGTGCCTGACAGGTGATATGATGTGTTTATGCTGATGAGCTGTTTGGTTTTCTCCAATAATGGTGTTCTTTAGGGCGTAAAGGTTTTCTTTCGTCTAATTTGTTCAAATCACATCTATCTAGAAGTCTTTGTTATTCAGATGCGACTTTATGAACTTAAAATAACCTGAATACACAGAGAAAAGAAGCAAGAGGTTTAAGGAGGAGAACACATTTCTTCTAATCCTTCAAAGTTTCCCAAATAGCACAACAGTATTTGAAAAATAAATATGAAATGCGGCTGAAGTGTTTGAATTTCTCTCCCTCCTCCAGAAATGAAACAGTTTCTAAGCAACCGCCGCAGAGACTCCCACATGAACTGGTTTGAGTCGGCCGCGGACTGGGAGCAGGAGCTGGAGCGGTGCGGGGCCACGAGCTGGAGGGTCAGCTCCGTCAACGACCGCTTCGAGATGTCCAACAGGTAAAACCGCAGCCTGCACCCAGCTGAAGCGCAGGAAATAGGCAGAGACGTGCATTTCCTCCTCACAGAGAGCAGAAGTAGAGCAGGCCTCAGAAGCCTGAGGAGGAACTGATGCAGACTCTCCCTCATGCTCTGCTCCAATGTTCTTTGATCTGGATACTTTGAATGTGAAATAAATCAACCGTGTCTGAACCGAAGCCTTTCTCTTTGCCCCCCCCCGACAGCCTGTCCAAGTACATCGTGGTCCCTCACAAGGTTTTGGACACGGAGCTGAAGAAGAGTTTCGCCCACTTCAACGAAGGACGAATCCCTGTAGGTTTCAGCAGCTCCTCTTTAGACTTACAGCTCTGCTTCACTTCAAACTGCACAAACTGATGCATGAATTGCTCCATTGACAGAAGGAGAACTGGTACATTTTCAATCCATGAGACACATTTTGGATTCTTTATTGCTTCTAACAAATTATGCATTAGATATTTGACCTCATTCCCTTACATTGTTTTTTTCTTAGAACAAAACATCAGATTATTTCAATGTTTTGTCTAAAAGCTCAAATTTGGACTTGATTTCTCTCAATATACTTTTGCATATATATTTATATATCAAATTACTACTTATAAGTAGGAGTTTAAACAAATCTTTGGCTTACAGTTTATTGTAATTGATGAATTGATGATGGCCGCTGAAAAAAACAAATATCCATCAGCGTTGTAATATTACCGCTGTCCACTAGAGGGCTTTATTCATTCTTAAAGGAATAGTACACCCAAAACATGATTAGCCTTCATTTTCTACTCACCCCCATGCTGAACAACACT